AATAGACTAGTAGATCAAAAATTATTTAGCTTTAAAGTTTTAAAAAAATATACTTTTTTTATAAATTCCAAAAATCAAAGCATATGAATAAGAAAAAGTGCATTTATAAAGGTTTAGGCCAGAGGTTGAGCATGTATTTAGAGTGTGTGCGCATTTATAAAGGGCATTCCGTGACTCAGGGCATGCCTAATTTTTTACCAGTGCCTCAATACAGAGTTTTTTTTTTGTATCGCCACCAGTACTATTGATGTAATGTGGGTTCGGTTCACAGTCGGTTCCGGATCTCCGGGTTCGGTTCCGCAAAACACTAATGCACGTACGTACCAAACATATAAAATTGTTCCAAATCTCAGATCCCGGGATTTGGGACGAGTAGTTGTGTGACATATAGATATTTATCATTGATTACAAATGTTGCGAAACCACTGCATTTGGTAATACATTAATAACTTTAAAAAAAAAAAAGAATACGTAATCACACACGATTTACTATGTCCTATGTCAAAGACCCCAAATAGGGTTAATTAATAATTATTTTTTCTAACAAGTTGCTGATTTATGAAAGTTGATCCAACTAACGGTCATATGGATATAAATTTTTGCCAGTCCCTGATCGTTAGATCGTTAATAATGTTTTTTTTACAAGGGAAGCAGATGACGGTTGGTCCCTGCATGCTGGCATGGTTACACGCTGTCGATCATTACGTATAGAAAATTTGATATCACTGTATTATTATCTGTTATGAATTAACTTTATTATGGATTTGGACGACTGCGAGCACAAATCAACAGAGACTGTGGATTCCACTACAATTTGCAAAGATTGTGGTTACTGCTACTCCTCTGAACTTCTGGTTCCTGACAGCAGCGGTAAGTATACTGAAAAGTATACTTTACAGGAAGTATTTTATAGGCAATCTTTTAAAAGCTATCTATTTCGAAGATCTATATGAAGGTCGAACACTAAGACGCGAGGCACTCGACGGATCAACTATTGATCCTGGGAAGCGCCGGAACAATCTATTGGTAAGTAGTTATATAACGTATTGCATGGTTCATTACACTGATTTATCTTATTGGGCCCCTTTCAATTAAAGGCTGAAACAGTAATTCAACAAACAATCACATCTCTGTGTTTAGAAACAATTGAAACACGTGTAAAGGCTTTATATAACATGGTTGAGAAAAAATTTGAAATCGGTGAAGGACAACTTCTGCGATTAGTAGTTGGTGCTTGCGCATTATTAGCAATTAGGGAAGAGAAAATTCCAAAAACTATGCGTGAAGTTGCGGTAATATTTTATAATTTTTAATGATTATGAATTTGGTACAATATTATTCATGTTTACATAGTTTGCAATAGGTGTAGAATTCCGGAATCTAACAGCAGTAGTTCATAAAATACGAACCCATGTTCTTCCTTCAGTACCAAGTTTCATAGACGTTGAGTTGCTAGTAATTAATGCGATCAATAAATTATTTGAAAATCAAAATGTTAAACTTCCTATATATACTGATATCAAACAGCTCGATCATCTCAAGTATGATTTATCAGTATTAGATGCACAATACTATGATTATTTGAACGAAGAAGCAACAAATAATTCAAACGAAGATTTTTCAGTGTTAATCATGAAAAGCTATCGCAAAGTATTTTTTAGTCTTTGCATGGAATTACTTAAATATTCTGATATAGATAATCTTATTAGCGGAAGGCAACCTTCCCCTATCGGTGCGGCAATTGTTTTGCTTGCAATTGAAGCTACTGAAAAACCTAGCTTTGATGAATGGAAAAATAATCACAGATATGCATCTGAAATTGTTGGGAGAATATTTCAAATTGATCCAAGGTTGGCAATGAATGACAGATATAAAGAGATGGTTAATATGATGCATTCTAAGGTCAACATTCTCCCTTGGAGTTCTCTTTCACAGGAATGTAAAAGCAGGTGTTATATATTTATCACAGATGTAATACAGTTTCATAAATGGATTCTGAGTTGTCGCGAAAAGGGTAGGCAAAACGTTCGGTATTCTGATCAAGATGCTAACAATGAAACTATCGAAATCGCGACAAACAAAGATCCTGGTTGTAATAGTGTTAGCCAGGAACCAGATAAAACAATTGTTTATAATGAAACTGATGTAACCAATTCAAGAGATTTAGAGTCCTGTTCTGATAGAGAAACTGATGCATCTGATTGCTATTTGGATGATGATGAGCTAGAAGACTATGTACGAGATGAAGATGAGGTATAAATTTCATGTTCTCGAGAATTTTGCCTTTATTCTAACGTATTTATTCAAATTATTATCTATTTGGCATTTACGTCAACAAAAAAACTTTATGCATCCTTACCAGGTTGAACTCGCCAAGGAGTCTTGGGAACTTTACCATCAAGGAGATTCAGATGGTAGAAGAAAGCAATCTAAAGATACGAAGAGTAATCCACCAGCAAAACGATGTAGAATACTCCGTGAAAAAGGTGTCCCGAAAAAGTCCAAGACGAATGATTTTAATAACAATGGAGATACGCATCTGGTATCCACTTTGGAAAACAAATCTGTAACATCAAAACGCAAGTATACTAAGAAGGCAAACAAGATCGACACGATACAGGAACGTGTTCAGATAGAATCTAGTTCTAAAATAAAACTAAATTTTGATCCTAATCAAATAAATATGGCTTTATTCGATCATATTTAATAATGTTGAACAGATTTAAAGGGACCTTAAAAAGAATAATAATATATAATATATTATCTATCTAAATGCTATTGCAATAGTATTGCAACCTTATTCAAATTAGTGCTTTATTTCACACAAAATTATTGTTACCGTATCACTTGCCCAGTTAGTGATATGGTCTTTAAATATTACTCTTTGATTATCAGATTTGTGGCACTCACATGAAACAAGCAACGGGTAAAATCACGTTTCGTATATTGTTTTCCCTAGTCATAACTCTCGCATATTACATGGCAGTTTGAATACAGGTACTGTACATATATATATATGTAATCTTTATATATTGCAGTATTACATTTTTCGCTTGTTGTGTCAAGCGTATCATTACTTATTTTGCGTATTATTATTTTAACGCATCCTCTCTCTTATATCAATCTAAACAATATCACCTCTTCCCTTCTTCGTTAGTTTATTTTCTACCTTAAAATATTACCATTTTTTTTTCTCCCCTGGTTTGTTAGTATAATTTTTCACTAGAAAAATAATTTCAATTTTAATAAACTGGACCGCAAAAGGGTTTCTCATTATTCTTACGTGAAGTGCTACCTTATATATAATACTGTGATAGGAAGAGTACGTAGAACGTACATGCAATCTAGAACGGAAGAAATACTTAAATATTGTGTATTTACGCTTTCGGTCAGTTAATTAAAATAGGTTTATAATGTCCACACAACAATCACGATCTGAAGGGCATCGTATCAGTGCTCCAGATGGTACTAATAGTCTTGGTAGTACTGAAGCCACTATTAAACAATTAAGATCGCAGAACGATCAACTGTGGAAAATAATAGAGAAACAAAAAACTGTAATAACCAATCTACAAAAGGACAATCAAAAGTTGGCCCATGAAAGAGATAGGCTTCTTTTAAAAATTAGAGACATTGACGCTTTTGAACGTCCTGAGGAGAATAATGTTAAAGGTGGTAATGAAACCAAAGTAATCGCGGACAATATTAATGATAATACATCGACTTCAGATGCAATTAGAATACGAACCAATACACCACCACCACCTACATCGCGTCTATCAAAATCGTTTCTTCAATCACAGAAACAGCAGCTAGAAACGGAGCTGCTAACACGAAGCTCCCAATCACAACACCAAGATTCTGAAACTTTAATAATACCTGAAACTTCTGCACCTTCAAGTCTGAGTGTTTCTAATGAATCGAATTCACGTAATCTTCCACCTGTAGTTGTTCATGAGCCTTCTCCTGAAAGATCAAACTTTGAGCATGAAAAGGATTCGGAAACCCAACTTGACGAGGCATCATCACGAGATAATAGTAACATTGTTACCTTAAATTTAGTAAATGAATTCAACTCTCAACAATCTTTACCAGACAGCAACCCTTCAGGTTCATCTTCCATAGATACGCAAACCTTGCCTTCGCCACTCAACTTAGATCAAAGTTTACAAAATTCCAAGCTACAACAAAATCCACCACCTTCACCATCAATGTCAACTAAATCTTCAGAATCTGAAAGTTTAAGCAGTGGAAGTTGCAGTCGACATAGACGTCATAGCACAACGCAAACTATTGATACTGAATTAGATATTTTAGAAGATGCTGATACTCATATCCAATTTCCTCAGCTTTCTTTGAAGGATTCCTCTCCAAGACCTTCGAGTCAATATATTAATATTCAAGGTCCAGAAGCCGATGAGATTTCTACTCAAAATCTTAAAAAAGTTCCTGAACCTTTAGGATTGACACATCCAGTATCACAAAAGTTAGGAACATCCCAACGTTCTCCTGGTTTGCCATCCTCCCCTAAGGCTTATATTTATAACAATGATGAACAGTTAAATGATGCAAATGCGTCTTCAAGAAATTTTATAGTTAATCAAGATAATATGAACTATAATAAATATTCGCAAAGTGTTAGTCACAATCAAGCTGTAGAGAGATCACAACCATTTAGGTCACATTCATTACCTACTGGTGATCATGAAAAGCCTGAAGATGAAAGGTCCTGGAGAGATTCTCAAACCAGTACCAGTGAATCTTTAGATATTGGTATGAAAGATAGATCACTGAGAGCAAGTAGATCGTTTAGTCATGTTCCCACAGGACCGCGATCTCGTATATCAATGATGCCACCTCCTCACGGAGAATATCCAGAATTCCGAAATCTTAATCCGAATAATATATCTTTACCTAACCAGGGACAAATTGATAATCCCTCAGCAAATCCATCACAAGGACAGCAGTTGCAATCTTTTCAGTCACCATCTCCTTTATCACAACAATCACAAATACCGCCACGTTCAGAAGCACCTACACCTTCGATTACTTCAGATGGTATATCTGGGATAGCTGTAAAGGTTATTGGCAGCAATAAAAAAACCAATGACAAGGGAAAGGAAGTGTTGGCATTCATTATTTCTGTTGGACAGGCAAGAGTAGTTGATGGATGCATTGTTGGAATGGAAAAGGAACTGTGGAGGGTTGAGAAATTCTACTCTGATTTCTTATCGTTAGATGGAAAGGTATTTGTTTCTATTTGTTAGCTTACTATATGTATTCATTTTATTTATTTGTTATTTTTTTTTAAATAAAGTTAAAGCAACGACATAGCAAGAGCACGATAAACAAAATTGGTAAATTACCGGATAAAAATTTATTTCATAACAATGCACCCAGCAAAGTTGACGCGCGAAAGGTTTGTTTACTATTAATTCTTTACTATTAATTCTTTACAATTTTTATTTTCAAAGTTTGACCTGAAAACGAATAATTGTTATTGTCGTCTCAAATTTTGTAGACTGCCCTTGAACAATATCTTCAACATATCATATCCCTGCCCTTAAGAGATACTAAAGATTCTAACGATTTATGCAAATTTTTAAGCACAAACGTTATTGAACAAGATGATAAAGATTCTCAGGTATTTTATTAGTTAAATCTAATGCGTTAGTTGCCTTTACCGTTATCATTAACGGTATAACATTCAAAATTAGCAACCTGGATATAAAGAAGGCTACCTTACTAAGAAAGGAAAGAGTTTTGGTGGATGGAAATCAAGATATTTCGTATTGAAATCACCGGTTTTAGAATATTATGAAAGCGTGAGAACATCATTCATTTCTTACGTATATCTTGTTTATCAACTAATATGTTTGGTATTAAGTGGTCTTTTTGCCATATACAGAAAGATGGCAGTCATCTTGGATCGATTCGTTTAACACACGCACAAATTGGTCGACAACAAACTTCAAATGACACGGATAAAGATAATGAAAATTCTTATCGTCATGCATTCTTGATTCTGGAACCAAAACCTGGATCGAAACAGCAAAATACACGTCATGTATTATGTGCGGAGAGCGATGCAGAAAGGGATGAATGGGTAGAAGCCTTACTGCAATATGTTGGAGTTACTGAAGAAGAGGCAGAGAGAAGAAGACAAAAGAGAGAAAAAGAAAAAAAGGCAAAAGATACTACTAAAACTGAAAGGAAAAAGGGCAATAATGATTCAATATCGAGTACAAGTACAATCACTAGTGAAGCTAGTGTTGCACATGGCTATCAAAATGACCAGATATCACAAAATGGCCAATGGAATGCACAACCGATGTTAGGGGTTTCAATTAGTCAGGCTCAAAAGCGTTCCAGCATGTTGGAGGAAATTGAACGTATAAGGAAATATAATGGAACACCAGAACCTAGAGATGTTTCACCTTCGTCCTCGCAAGTTGTTGCGGTTGTTAGCAGTAATAATTCATCTCTAGGACAATCAAGTACTAGGCGCGACCGACCACATGACGATCAAATTGCTGAAAAAAGAAAAAATTCGCGCAAGACATTCTTCGGTAACATGTTTGGTAGTAGAGACGATAAAAAAAGAAATAATGACATACGACCCGATGTCTCAAAAGTAGTTTTTGGTATTCCTTTGGATCAGGCAATTGCAGTCGCACGCATAAAAGAAGGGTATGAACTTCCTGCTGTCGTTTATAGATGTATAGAATATCTAGATGCATATGATGCAGATAAAGAAGAAGGTATTTACCGTCTCAGCGGTGCAGCTATGACGTTAAAACACTTAAAAGATAGATTCAACACTGAAGGTGATGTCGACTTACTTCACCAAGGAGAGCATTACGACGTGCATGCTGTAGCTGGGTTGTTGAAGCTTTATCTGAGAGAACTACCTACCAGTGTTCTGACCCGAGAATTGCATATGGAATTTGTAAACGTTGTTGGTATGTTATTCATGATTTACGTTATGGAATCATAATTTTGATACTTTCATAACACTTTTTTTTATTTTTTATAGATCTTCTTGATAGACGAGATCGTATTAATGAACTTGGTCGTTTAGTTTCTGCCCTTCCTCTATCAAACTATACATTACTTCGAGCACTGACAGGTCACTTAATAAGAATAGTACAAAATTCCGACATCAATAAGATGACTGTACGAAATATTGGGATAGTATTTTCCCCCACATTAGGTATTCCAGCCGGTGTTTTTAGTCTCTTCATGGCGGAGTTCGATTACATCTTCTTTACCGATAGTGATGGTGTTGCTGCACCAAAAACTTTAGAAGCAGCACCAGAAAATCACGAGTATCATCAACCCTCAACAACCGATTTTTCATCCCAACCCACCTCAGATAGCCAGCAGCAATTGAAAAATGTCAGTCCGGATGAAGATCCAACTTCACCTACTGCTTTGTCACCTAAAAATGCTTTACGACGACGTGATATACGTGAGGAGATTACAGGCAGAAGCAATCGAAATAGCGTTCATTATATGGACAATGCGCCTGATGTTGTGGTCGGATTGGAACGGAAGTTGACAGGTGTGTTGCTTTATATTTACGTTGGCTAGTTTTATGCTTTATTTTAGAGTCGCATAACTGTTTACTAAATTGTTTTAATTTTATTACTTTTTTTTAATTAAGTAACTAAATCAAGCCTTCGTAAGAATGATCAGAATGATGATTCATCGGAAGAGGAAGTTAATGATCTAGCTCTTCAAGTTGAAGATGTTGATTATGATGCCGAGAGCGTATCATCAGTTTCCATTGAAGAATTTGTCCCATCTTCACCACCTAATTCTTCAAATTTCCCATTACAATCTCCTCGGACACTAGTACCACCGTCCTTATTACCACAAAATTATCTCGAAATGTCAGATGATACATCAGAAACACAGCAAAATTCTGTAGCAGGTTACGCCGATGATGTCAAACTATGACCATGCTTTTAACTGTGAGGAGGCTAGAGTAAATTAAACTGTATAATTTATTAAATTAAAATATATATGTAGAATAACATTTTAATTAACTTTATTAAAGCAAATACTGGTAATAATTATATTAATATGTAAAAGAAAAAGTGAAATGAGCAAATAAGAATCGCTTAATATATATTATGAATTACAAATAATAATTATGAATATATATTATAAAATAAAAAAATAAACCTCAACTATTGATTATTAATTTAATACTACGTGGGTTAAAATAATTAGCTAATCCTGGCGTAATTTTGTAGGAATCAACAATAAAGGCCTGCATTGGGATTTTTTACGGAAGGACCCATGGCTCGGTCCAGCCCGATCCATTTTGCGGGCCAGGCCAAAAAATTTATAATTGTCCGGAGCGTAGCGAAGGATATATGGGATCTTTGCTAACAAAATGAGCTTCCGAGGCTATGTTGATTTTGTGAATAAAAATTAAATTTGCCAGCTATCTAGCAATCCAATTTGAATGAATTTTTTTTATTTTGTAAATCTCAATAGAATCTACAAATTAAAAAAAAATTCATTCAAATTGAATAACTAGATAGCTTGCAATTTTAATTTTTATTCACAAAATCAACATAGCCTCGGAGGGTCATTTTGTTAGCAAAGATCCCATATATTGGACGAGTAAAGTACATCAAAAGTTACGTTTTTGATGCATCAAAAGTTACGATGTTGATGCATCATAGTGATAAAATAACTTTGAAAAGGATGCCTGTCCGCACACTGACTAAAGTTACGTTTTTGATGCATGACTATATTCGATAATTTATTCGCTCCGGACTTACAAAAGTTTTTTAAAACTGTTCCCTAGTATAATATACATATGGGGAATGGTCTAGGAAAACCTGCCTTCGACAGCTAATGCCGAAGGCAGGTTTTCCTAGGCCATTCCCCATATGTCGTACCCCAGATTGGAATCGTCCCGATTCAGAATCGGGCTGTTCTGGATGGGAATCTTGTGTATTTGGCAATTAAGACTTTGGAATTAGGGTTTATAATAAAAAAATTTTTAATTTTAGGCAACATAAATTTTTTTGGTTCTTATAACATAAAATTTTAAAAATGACCCGGCAACCCGGAAAAATTTAAAAAAGTTCCGGATAGTAAAAATAGTCAACATAAATTTTTTTGGTTCTCATAACATAAAATTTTAAAAATGACCCGGAAACCCGGCTTTTAATAAAAAATTTAAAAAAAGTCACCCGGATAGTAAAAATAGTCAAAATTTTTTTTCAAGAACCAATTAATAAAGTTTGTACAGTGTTAACCTGGTGATACCTCTCGGAATCGAGGTTAACGGTTCAACTTAGAGGTGCGATCCATGATCCGCAATCCGGATTATCTATTCAAAATCCGTTATCCGTTCAAGGGTTCCCTTAATATAGGCAGACTTTCTCGTGATTGGTTGATCACACAAATTGAATATCATGCCATGATTGGTCGCTTTGCAGAT